TAAATAAATAAATAAATAAATAAATAAATAAATAAAATACGGAGCATCACTTGCATAAGCCACACAAAATCAGTCTCGTTTCCCAAGGGAATCACGCAACAGCTGTATCATTAGGAAAACTGGACAAAACAAGCTGGAAGAATCCTCTCTGTGCCTCCACAGGAGGTGGGGAAAGAACAGGGGTGGCCTGATGGTCCAGCTCTCTGGTCAACAGACTCCCGGGATGAGGGATGAAGAGAAGGCAGAAGGACACCCGAGCAAGCACCTAGTTGAGGGCAGCACATCTAATGCAGGTTGGCTGGGGAGGGGCTAGAAGGCTCAGGAGATGGTAAGCACTTACTAGAAGGCCCAGCCATAATTCCAAGCATGTGGCCTCCAGTCTTCTGGACCCAAGTTTGCAGTTGCCTGGAAGACTTGTGAATACACCATATGGGCCACCATTCCCAGAAGGCCTATAGAGGGAACAGAAAGGCGGTGCCCTTAGAGAGAGGCTGGATTTGCCAGCTACAGGGAGTATGGGTTTGGAGCAACCTCCTCATTTTGCATCAGGTACAGCCTACGTGGAGATGCTCCATTACCCATCTGCCCCCCACATTTCCGGGGACACTGATCTGCGACGGGGGCTTCTTGAACGCAGAGCTTTGCAAAAGGTTGCCCCAGGCTTTAGGTGGCGAGCTATGGAAAAAGTTTCTGAGTCAATGCTGCACTTAGGGCCTTTTACTTCCTCCCACCCATGTCCTCAACACGAGCTTTATTCTTGATCTATTTTTATATCTGCATCTCTTACTCCTGCTTGATCCGATGGAGTCTTAAAAAGCTGTGTGTAAGTGCAACTGAAAAGTAAGCCAAACTGTATTTCACATACTGAGAAAGCTTGCAAATAAAAAGAACCTAGAGAGAAATCATTTTGCCAAGTACATAATGATCTAATAGAAAATTTCATTCCAACTCCAAGACCCCTGCAACGGCTCTCATCCCTCCATTCTTGACCCTGCCTCTGGACAGACACACGCACCCACCAGAGGCGCCCCAAGGTGGCGAGGCTCCCCACCCGCTCCAGCCTGGGCGGCACGCACCCGACAGGACGGAGGAAATGGCAGCGAAGGCGCTCAGCTTGAGCCCGCAGCCTGGGTTCCCGGTGAACAGCAGGTCCATTAGTAGCAGGAGGAAGCTGACGAATTCAAGTCCGATGGACGAGAAGTGGGCTCCCACTGATAACCATAGGATCTCTGTTAGAAACCAGAGGAAGAAAATAAAATTCAAGTATAAAGAAAAAAAGAAAAAAGAAAAAAGAAACCAGAGGAAGAAGAGCCCTCACCCTGACATGTTACAGGACTGAACACAGGGAGCCCGGCAGAAGGGAAAGCCTCCCAGAGTCAGAGAAGGGGACAGAGTTGGCACCAGCTGGGAGCTTTCCCTCCTTTGGGTCCTTTGCTGTCGCCCCTGCGCTCACTGCTCTCTGCTCGGTACCCCATAAGGAATCAAGTAATCTTGATTGACTGGAAATACCGTTGGGGCAATTCAAGAGGAAATCACCTGTCACCCAATCTTGCAGGGGCATGACTTTGCTGTGGGTCATTTTTGTTCCCTTTTTCTTTATTGAATTTTGGAGCAATCACTTCGGTTCCTTTCTCCCTCCCTTTTCAGTTTCACTCCCTTCTATTAAAAATATATACATATATTTTATTTAAAAAATATATACATATTGGAGGGAAAAAAACACCTCTAAGCTTTTCTTTTCTTTTTTTTTTCCTCTAAGCTTTTCAGCATGGTTACTTGGCAACAAGAGGAGGTTAGAGCTGTTGGTGGTTTTCTATTTGTGAACTTTATTTGTCCCTGCTGTCCTTTGTTTGCATTCCTGCATATGAATGAGAGGCAGCTCTGGAGGGAATGTGGGTCACCCCGTGGGGCTCAGAAGAAGAGAAAAGAAGATCAGAGTACAGTGTAGAGAGCACTGTTGGGCCAGAGAGGTCCAAGTCAATGGCGGCTAAATTGGTGATCAAACCCACATACTTGCCACAAGCCCCAAGGGAGGGTGGGGGAGGAAAGCCTTCTCCATCAACCGCTTCCCTCCAAATCGGAGAGTGGGGTGACGTGGGCCTTGCAACGTGGCAAACTCCAGTAGTCCTTTCTCACCTCTCTGGGTTGGTGGTGTGAGTTCATTGAAAGTTCGGCACCTCTCCCCTGAAACACAGACAAGGTATGACTTCAGGGGCAGATGAAAACGTCCCCCCGTCCCACACCTGGTGCGACCCCCCTCCCTTGGCTCGGACCAGTGCGTGCCCAGCACGCAGCAGATAGGCCCTAGACGCCTCTCTCTGAAAGCAGGAAGGAAGGCCTCATGGATGGATAGATGGATGCATGACCTAGGCAAGAGTCACTCAGGATCCATTTCTCCGTCCCCAGTTCCTGACAGTGAAGAAGAGGACGTGAGCCTGAGACGGCTTCCGCGGGGAAATGTTCCCGCTTCTCAGGTCAGGGAGGGTTAACAAGCCTAATGTTAACCAGCACCTTTTGCTGCCACCGTACTACTGGTCTGAATGGCTCGCAATTGTTTCTGGGGCTGGGGTCGGAGCTGTGCTAAATGGCACGTTAATAACACACATAAACACACACACATACATTTATAATCCTCTTCCATCTCCTTTTTCCCTTGGCCCAAATCGGGAGAAACAGGTTAATTGTACTGGATTCTGGGCTTTAGGAAAACATCACTACCAGGTGATGTCTGATGCTTTGAGCAGGGAGGAGGGCTGTCCCTAGGCCAGCTGCTCCTAAGCCGAGGAACACAAGTTAGGAATGCACAGTGACGCAGGACCCCGCTTTGCCAGTACGCACCACCAAGCTGCAGGAGACCTGGGAGGTCAAGGGTGGCCTTACTCCACCTAGTTACCCTCCTCCGGCTTCAGTTCCCCTACCTTGTAAATTGTAATGGTCATACTTAGAGCAAGAAAACCCTGTTGGTGGGGTGGGGCAGGAAGGGGCTCCACAGGGGATCTACTCAGACCCTTTCATCTCGCCAGTGAGAAAATCAAGCTCTGTAGAGAGGAAGCGGCGCATCTGAGCTCACAGCTGGGCAGAGCCAGGGCATTTTCTTTAAGAATCCTCTCTCCTCATTTGGTCTCCAAACAGCAATCCTAACTCGCTAGAGGGGGAATTCTCGTGATGTTACAAGTCGAAATGAGACCCTTTAAGGATGGCGCGATTTTAAACCAGCAGTGGCTGCTAGACAGGAGGTTTGGAAAAGCCAGATGGACTTTTGGGTCTTATTAAAAGGGAGTCCGAGGGAGAAGGGACGGGATACAGAGGTGGGAGATGCTGAGCCTGGCGGGGAGGCCCGCTGGGGTGTGGGGAGTGCTGTATGCTTCCCACTGGCTCTTTGCCCGTGTTAAGTTCCCTGGGGGGAAGAGAGCGGGCAGCTGGGCTGACGAACCTACCTGGTTCTTCCACAGTTTCCTCACAGGATAGCCACATGCCACTCCAGAAGGTATGGAAGGAGAAGCGGTCATCCCCAGCCTCCCAGCCATATTGCACCACCTCCTGGGAAGATGTGTTGGTGCTGCTCCCATCCAAGGGCACCGGCATGTCAGAGCACTCGGTTGCCAGACCTTTTCCGCACACGGGCTTGGGCACCTTCTGTGTGCCCACAAACCAGCTGTTGCTGAGCAGGGATGTTGTGGAGAGGCTGAGTGATAGCATGTTGAGGAGGGCAGATAGGAATGTCCGTTGGCCAGAGGAGCCCTTCGGGAGTTCCATCTGTAACAGACCAATACACGTGGAGAGCCTGATTTCAGAACCTCCTTGGAGATTTGGACACCCTTCCCTGCGGCTCCCTGCGCTCAAGCCACGCTCCTCCACGGTGACGGGCCCCCCGCCGGCCCCGGGCGCTTTCTCCACGGAGCCTCGCGTGTGGAGGCTTAGCTTCAGGAATGGCCGGGAGTAGGCACACCGTGGTGATGATGTTTATTTAAGCTGGACCTCATTCTACTCAAATGCTTATTGAGGATGATCTGAATAAATACCCGATAATAGCCTCAGGCGGAATGTGATTAAGCCACTGAGCTAGTGTATATCAAGTTGAGTACAAGCATTGGGGCCACTCTAATGCGCTTACTGGTCATTATTTTTGGTTTTGTCTTCAGTGAAGGGTAGTAGCACTGACTTGCTGAGGTATCTGTTGTTGGAACAACGCAAGTTTTTTTGGTGTCCTCTTCTCTGTATCACAGACTCCTCCGAGAGGAGAGTGGAGGAGGATATGGCCCATCAGTCAATATTAAACTGGATCACCCCGGGGCGGGGGAGCAGCAAGGATTGGGGCTTTCAGGATTAAAGAAGGCAGTGGACCTACTGGGATGTGGGGTTGTTGAAACCCTTGGAAGGGAGATGAGGCTGTAGGTTCTGAGAGAGGTGGTGATCTGGGCCCAGCTTTCAGACACTACCTCAGAGAGGACAGAATCTCAAATGGGAGGGGGCTGTGTGGCGCCCACGGAGACTGGACACCAAGTGTGGTGGTCATGGAGAGGGACCTGGAGGGGCATCTCCACTGCTTGATGCAGCTGTGGTACCTGACTCACAGAGGGGACAGCGTGGCTCTGGCGGGAGCCCCCAACCTCCCCGTCATTTTTAGCCTAAGAGAAGAGGAGAGCCAGCTGAAGAATGACCAGTATTAGATGTTTCAACCTTGGTGAGTGGTGGCTTGGAGCCCGACTGAGCTTTAGAAAAATAAAGAAATCTGCCAGGTCTTGCACTTTGTGTTACAGAGCAGTTTATACTGTTATATTAATACGTACCGAAGGGAAAAGAAACCCATATTTAGTTGCTGACAGATGCTTCTTAAAGTAAACCATCTTGAGCTTTCCAGGGGATCTCTCATATCAGAATTAATCAGACCTAAATCTGCTTAGCTTAAGAAACGTAAATAAAACCATAGCTAAATGGGACAGGCCCATAAATCTGCTTAACATTTTCTACATTTAACAGGGAACTTTATCTTAGAAATATAGCAGTTTGTTCTTCAGAATTTCCAGGGACTAAAACAGTGCATACCACAGACAAAGTGCAGATTATTTATGGCCATAAGAAGTATACAAGGTTCATATGCATATAAAAATCAATATATAGGACATATGATAAAACAACTTCTGGAAAGCAATCTGCTAATACGATTTTTTAAAAAGCACTCAACAAATTAAATCCACCAAAATTGTCAGTCTGTGCAGGACTCTGGGTGACCTTGGTAAAGACTGAAAACCACAGCATCTGGAGTGAAGAAAGAGCTTCTATTACCTGGTATGGAAGTCACACACTGCCCCTGTCCCCCGAAAAGAATGTTTCCATCTTGCTTTTAGTTGTGAAAATCCTATTGGTTTTAGCCATTGTTCCATTACTATAAGTTATTCTTTCTAATTATTTTCATATCCATTGCTTGAACAGGGAATGGACTTCCAGGTAAAACGTCTTCATTAATCATTCTGTATAAAGATCGAACTAATGATTTAGGCAATTCTACATTTTCAAAACTTCATTTTCAATTTAATACGGGTTGGAAATTTGTCTACTATCACATCAGATTTTTACTCTACCCTCAATTCGTTTCAAGTTATGCATATTTATAAGTTATTCTGCAGATTATTCACAGATAAGAATAAGGAACCCCGCACCAAGGTGATAACCAATTTAAAGAAGAAGTGATTTGAGAAACAAAGGATGAAAAAGAGCTTGGAATGAAGCTCAAAGAGGCTGCTTCCAGAAGGAGTGTCCAACCAAGGGCAGACACAAGGAGCCTCATTCAAGAATTATCTGACAGTTGAATGGGAATTCATTCAAGAGCCTTTTCAAGAATCATCTTCAACACTTACAGTACTGTGCCCTTCATCATGTGTTTTATTTCTCCCTAAACATGCCTTTTCTCTCCAGGATCCAGATAGCCTCTTGAATCGCAAGACCAAGTCTAATTTTGCAGAGATCATGGAGAAGTAGCAGCCATAAGAAAAGTTGTATCTTTGCCTATGCTGACAAGCCCCATGCCAAGGTGACTCTTTACTCTCTAGAAAAGTGACAGAGAGTGGCTTCGCAGACACTCCAGCTCAGAACGATAGGAAATGCACAGGGGCCAAAATGTCACTAATTCTTCCATCAACATAGGTTAACAGACAAACACAGAATTAGCATAGACAACAAATTGATGAGACAGGCACAGCTCTTAATCAAGTGCAAAATGGGCTTTGCAATGTATGTTCTGAGCAGTAAGAGGGGGAAGCTGGTTACCTTGGCCGCGGTCAGCGTCTTGCAGCTTGTCAGGAAGGACTGTAGGATGACATCTGTGCCCCAAATCCCCTTGGTTTAATGTTGACAGAATGAAACTGCCTTCCCACCCTCCTGCCTCCCTTCCTGTCCCTCCTCTTCTATCTCCTATTTTTTTGGAGTGCCTCATGATTAAATGCTGCCTTGCAGGGAACTTGGGCATTTAATAATTGACAATGCAATCATGGCCCAGCTGTTCTGGAAGATTACACAGGAGAGCTTGCCAATGGGGATCAGGGATTAAACACAAAGAAGCAAGGACCTGTATTTACAGAGGAAGTTTCTCTAAAAAGTTAAGTGAAGATTCAGTTTCCACCTAACTGCCATTCCCTAGGAAGCTGGTGTGAATGGCTTGGGCTTGATTTTATGGCAGATACAGAAAATATTACAGGGTTACCATTACTTTGTGTAGGGGTTTCCATCCCTTTTTTTTTTTTTTTTAAGATTTTTTAAAGATTTTTAAATTTATTCATTTGAGAGAGTGAGCCAGAGAGGACAAGCCAAGGGGAGGAGCAGGGAGCCCGATGCGGGGCTCGATCCCAGGACCCCGGGATCGTGACCTGAGCCGAGGGCCAATTCTTAACCAACTGAGCCACCCAGGCGCCCCTTCATCCTTTTAATAAGTTATTCTCTGCAGTGTCAGGGCCTCATAGAGCCATGGGTTTGAAATTGCTTCCTTGTGTCATGGGTGGTCTCCACCTTCCAGTTAGCATCGTAAGGATTATTAACAACGTCCCTTCAATGGAATACTGAGACGGTCCTCCGTGCCTTTGCAGATGCTCTTCCTTATACCTGGAACGTCTTCAGTCTCTTTATTTGGTGATCTGCCTCTCATCAAAACTAGTGTAAAAGTCACTCATCCTTTGGAAATGTTTCTTTTCTCCCAGAGAACAGTTCTCTCTCTCTGTCCTTCCATACTGTACCCCTCTCGTAATACTTTCTGTATTTCATGATAGCTGTCTGGGTTGTAAGTCCTCAGAGGTCTCTCCTTTATTGGAGCAGCAGTTCCCAGTTCCGCCACTGAGCCTCACAACAGTCTATGAAACTTTGGAAAATATTCAGATTCTTGGGCCCCGTCCTGAGATTCCACCGCAGGGGTGAGGCCCGGGAATCTGTAATTTTAGAAGGCTCTTCGTAGATTGCCAGGGATGGACTTCTGGTTTCCGGTTCCGCAGGTAAAGAGCTTGGAAGTTGCCACTTCACCTTAACAAGTAAGAAGCTGAACAAACTGGAAAATATGGAGCCAGAGAATTAATCAAGTATGACCTGTTTGACTCACGTGGGGCTTACGTTGAATGAAACCCTCATATTCTGCCCCGGCCCTCCCCCACCTGGAATATTCCAGATTTGCCACCAACCAAGTTGTGGTTTTCCCATTCTGTATTTGTGCAGTTAGTTGGGGGAATGAAAGGCGGGCTCTCCTTGGAGGGAATTAGTCTACATTCTAGCCGGAGGAGTCTCTCTGGCTCTTACTTCCTACTTTTCTAGGACTGACGCGTCCGCACATTTGACACACACGTGCTTATGCCCAGGCGTGATTCCCGTATCACCCGAACGACCCTTTATTCATCCAGACATAGCTGGGAGCAGGAATTTAAAAAAAAATTTTTATTGTTATGTTAATCACCATACATTACATCATTAGTTTTTGATGTAGTGTTCCATGATTCATTGTGCATAACACCCAGTGCTCCATGCAGAATGTGCCCTCTTTAATACCCATCACCAGGCTAACCCATCCTCCCACCCCCTCTCCTCTAGAACCCTCAGTTTGTTTTTCAGAGTCCATCGTCTCTCATGGTTCGTCTCCCCCTCCGATTTTCCCCCTTCATTCTTCCCCTCCTGTTATCTTTTTTTTTTTCTTAACATATATTGCATTATTTGTTCCAGAGGTACAGATCTGTGATTCAACAGTCTTGCACAATTCACAGCGCTCACCATAGCACATACCCTCCCCAATGTCTATCACCCAGCCATCCCATCCCCCCCACCCCCCCCCACTCCAGCAACCCTCAGTTTGTTTCCTGAGATTAAGAATTCCTCATATCAGTGAGGTCATAGGATACATGTCTTTCTCTGATTGACTTATTTCGCTCAGCATAACACCCTGGGAGCAGGAATTTGGTAGTCACGTTTCACGTTGGGATTGGCTGTCGGTTTCCGGGCTACAGCTTCTGTCCTGACGCTGGGTGGCGCTATCGCCTTACATTTTTCCCTCTTTGGGCGCATGCTACCCCCACCCGTCCGCAAAAGTGGGTGCAGGTGGTGGCTCCTCCCCGTGGGATGGCTCTTTTTTCTTCCTCCGGCCTCCTCCCCACTCACACATCTATAGAACGCCTGTGTCAGCCCTACGGAATTCAGGGCTCGGAATGAACTCTGGGAGCATCCAGCCGCTCCCTCGAGGACATCTTGTAGGATTATTTCCTGTAGCACATTTTTCGTGACCGGTTCCAGTTTTCAGTGACTCATAGATCCTCAAATACTTCCCCTGGGAAATACAACTCCACGGTATCAGAAAATAGAGTCAGCCAATGCTTCCTGAGGGGTACTGTGCACATTTTTCTTTATTGAATCGTATCCTCATTCCCTTTCCACCCCACAACAGTGAACAATTCTTTTCCCTTCTCTGTGTTTACACCCCTCAAATACTTGCAGACACTTCTCATATCCCGCTTGAGTCACCGTTTGGCACAGTCTGATGTCTTTGGTTTTTATTGCCTCTGCTCATAAACTGCACCCTCTGTGCCTTAATAGGCTGAAATTTGCCTTCTCCGGGGAAAAGGGGATGGGAGTGGCAGAGTCTTGACGTTATATGAGGAGGCCTGGAGGTAGATTGAAAGTGAAGCAGCTTTGGGGTCTCTCACTGACTCGGACCCCTTCCAAGACCCTTACGTACTCATCACTTTGTATTAGTTTTCTTAAAGAGAGCCTCCGAAGTTATATTATTTGAGGCCTCCCCAAAGCCTGAATCTATCCCTTCAGAGGCCGTGCGTTTTGCATGGCTGGGCTGGCTGGCCGGCTATTAGCCGTGATCCATCTTGAGGACACCCCCTGTCACCATGGACCCTATGCCACAATGTCTAATTTCCTTTTTTTTTTTTTTTTTTTGATGAAACATGAGTTTCTCTGCCTGGCATCCCACTCACTTCCTTTCGTTATAATTTAGGTATGTTTATATTTTTTCCTTCTTCTCTTTCCTCCCTTAGAACAGAAAAAGCAATTGCTAGTCAATGCAACATGAATATAATTAGGTTGGGCTCAGAAGCTCATGACTCAGGCCAGACACAAAGATTCCGTATCTCGAAACAGTATTTAATTTTGGTACGCTGGACTGTTACCATGTCAGGATGATTCCCCGCCCCCGGACATATATGTGACTCAGCGTTTCTGACATCACAAAGCCAAGGCCTGGTACTAACCTGTGCTTGCCAGGGTCCTCAGTGACTATACCCTGCACTGTACCAAATCATATTTACTCAGCATACACAAAGAGAAACAGTGGTCTTGGGACACCCACACAAAGTTTGTAAACAGGAATCCAATTTATTACTTTGTGAATACACGGTAGATTAGACGTGATTAAAATAATGGGTAAGAATGCTGAGCCAGAGCAGATTCGTTTGGCATAGCACTTGCCTCATGGCAAAGCCTGGGGCGAAAGGATTTGGGGTTTGTTAGTTTGTTTTTTTCCCATTATCAATAGAGGCATTTTCTCCTAAAATAGGTTCGTTTGCAGCCCCCCCTGCCCCGCCCCCCAGCAGTAGTATCTCTGTCCTTTGCCCTGGAGTCAGATTTCTGACCCATGCCTCATAACTAATTCCTTTCTATTACTCAGCACTCAAAAAGCTGGAGTGGGACGTGAGTGTTTCTGCTGTCCCTGGCTCTGATCTCCGGGCCCCTGCTCTTTGTTCCTGCATGTTCCACTGTGTGCCTTTCTCATGCAGCCCAGAACATGGAAGCTGCTAGCTACAGGAGCAGCTGTGTTTTACTCATGGTTGATCTGCAGAGCCTAGCACTTTCTAACATGCAGGAATGAGTGAATGAAGTTTGTAATGGAAACCAGGCTCAGAATACAATTAAGAAGCCTATGAGTGAAGAGAAGATGTGAATAGAGAAAAGTGTTAAAGGACACAGCAATTCTCCTGATTCACCCACATAAGAGCAGTGAGAAGGTAGAAGGCAGAAGGTCCGCAGATCCACAGACACACCCTGTGCCTTTCTACACAGATGCACATCGAACAGATCCTCTGCCAATACATTTCCTCCCACCTGTGGAAACATTCCTGTTTTTTGATGAGCGAAGCCCAGAAAACAGCAATGATCTCATGAACGAGTATTATCTTTAGTTCACAGAGACCAGGATACAAACAGATTGCTTAAAAGCCAGTGACAGATTGGAAATGCCACGTTCCTTTCCCAAGCTCCAGGATTCCCTACTGATTAGAACCCTTTGGATGACCTATCTCGAACCATCTGAGATTTTCCAGCTCCATAATTTTTGCTTCAGTGCCTCATGTTTGACTCATTCACTGATGAAGGTAAGGAAGGTCTTCACACATTTTGATCTTCCTCCCAGCCCGGAAGGGTAGAGTAATGCCACAAAAATGCCCATGCTGAGTGTCCAAAATATTAACACCAGTATGGGACACTCAGCTCTGGGATTTCTGGGCTTTCAGGTTAACCTCCACTGCAACAGTGTTTCATGTCCACAGGGCCCCCAAACAGAGGCGTGTAGAACAAGAACGACTCCTTTCTTTCTAACATGGGTCAGGAGTTCTGGGAACACTTCTACTTCTGTTCCGCGGGAAAGACTGAAGAAAAGCACTTTGGGGCCTCTCCTCTCTGTCGCCTTTCCCTTTCCGCTGTTAGTGGAATTGTTAGAGGGCTTTTGCTAATGCAGGCATTTCCAGGAGAGGAAGCCGCCTTTCTTCCCTGCCCCAAGCAGCTGGAGTGAATCAGAGGGGCAGCCACATCTGCACATCCTGTGCGGCAATCGCTCACGCGCGGGTGACCGAGCCCTCGGGGCCTGCTGGGGCTGGGGGATCTTGGGGACCAAGCGGGGAGGGGGGCCTAACGGGAGCTCTCGCCTCTCCAGGGGTGCTCAGGGCGCCGAGCTGGGCTGCCCCATTTCCATTCCGCGTGCGCCCCCCCCATCCCGTCCGTTCTTTTCCTGCTCTCTCCCCCTACCCCTCCCCGACTGTCGCGGTGCCCGAGCCCAGCCGAGTCCCCGCCGGCTCCCCTCGGCCCCCTCCCTTCGTGAGTAACACGCCCGCCCCCGGTTTACTACGGCGCCCCGGTCGCCTAGCAGCGGGCGCGCGTTGCCACGGCGACGGGCGCAGGGCGTGTTTTGAATTGTTTGGCGAGGCCCCGCCCTAGCGGCCCCGCGCCTGGGACTCCGCGAGCGGGTGGGGCGGGCAGTGGGGCCCTGGCTTCCTCTCCCGGCTCCGGCGTCTGCTGAGAGCCGAGGCCCAGGGGCCCTACCGAGAGAAGGAGCCGGCCGGAGGGAGGCCGAGCCCCGGGGCCGGGGCCTGATGGCCGGCTGCCCTGGCGAGGCTTGGCAGAGGGAGGGCAGAGACGAGTCGGTCATCTGATCAGCTTCTCACACCCAGCCTCTGGGCCTGAGGGTCAGGAGGTGCGGGTTGCCCTGGAACCCAAAAGTCAGGCATTTCCCAGCCCCCGCCCTTCCCCTAAGGGTGCAGATCCCTGTCCTGGTCTAAGTCTTAGCCTTGTTTCGTGGCTCCGAGAGAGAAACCTAGAGACCACGAGTCCTCAACTGATCTGGGTTCTAGTCCCAACTCCACCCACGACTGGACTGATGATTTTGGCCAAGTTACGTAACCTACCTGAGTGATTCAGGAGTAAATTAGGAGAAAGTAGTCCTTCACAGTTCTGCTGTGAAGACCAGGAGGCAGCGGGGAAAGTGTAAAGGAAGGGGGGGGGGGAGGAGGGAACGGGCCGTGTTCCAGACGCCATGCTAGGCTCTTCAGGCAGTCCTCACAATCAGCCTCAGGGAGGGGTGGCGACTCCGTTCTAGAGGGAGCATTTGACTCGCTCAAGGCCACAAGGCTCGCAAATGGTGGAGTCTATATTCAAAACCTCTTGATTCATCCCCAGGCTGCCAGTCAGGAAAGGGGAGGTGCACACACTTCAGCAAAAGGCAGGGATTGCGGGTCAGATTATGGAAACTCACACAGAACGGCACAATGGATTAAGTGTGTTTTATACTTCAGATATATACTGATAAACCCTCCCATATTCCCTCTGTCTCTCCTCCTAAATCAATAATAAAAAAATAAAATTTACTATGCTTGGCTTTTTCTATCATGTTCTTACCCATTTCTGTGGGTTCTCCTATTTATGATCTATTCACTTTGGGTGCTATCCTGTCTCCTGTGATCCCTAGCATCTAGACAATGAACAGCACACCACGTTGCTCTGTGTGCGTGAGTGCGTGCTTGTGTGTTTTATTTCCCTGCCTAATTGTAAGCTTCATTTTTCTCTCCGGAGAAAGGCAAGAAGTGCAAGAAATGAACAACATTTGCTTTTCTAGTAACCCTTTGGGCTGAAAGTTGGCCATTCTCAACTATCTCAGATGAGAGGCAAGTCATTTCCAGATGTGGGTTCTAAACAAGCCAAACATCTTTTGCTGACTGAGGGTCTTTCTGGATCTGGAAGGATCCCTGCAGATTCTCCCAGATTCTCTAAGACCAGAAAGGGGAACGAGCACAACTGAGGTTGTGTCCTCCTTAGTTCCAGTAGATTCCAGATCAGAGCTGGCTACCGGCAGGACCCTGGGGGTGCCTCACCTTTGTCTGGCAGAGAACTTAATATCTGCTCTTCCAGTTCATTAGAGTCATACACAGCTCTGGGGTTGCCCCAGCCACGGGGCCTTTTACCAGGAACCAGATTTTGGCAACAGGAATCATACAGATGGGAGGGGAGAAAGGAGAACTAGAGGGCTCTAAGCAGTCCTGGGAGCAGCAAGGAAAAGTCAGATGAAGAGGCAAACGAGGAGGAAATGAAAGGTTAGTGGAAGAAGATGAAAACAGAAGGTCGAGGTTTGGACATCACCAGGTTTATCAATAAAAATGGGGCTTGAGTAACAGATTTCTATTCCCTTTTGTATAATCCTACAGTGTGTTCTCCAGTTCCTTACCGTGAACATGTGAAATAAAGCGGTGCATTTGTATAACCTGTATTACAAATCTAACATTGTATGCCTGAAACTAGTATTACACTGTGTGTTCACTGGAATGTCAATAAAAACTTAAAAAAAAGTGGGGTACCTACCTTCTGGGTGAGACAAACATTTTGAGTCAGTTGAGAGGGATTGCTCATTCACTTTTGAAGCTCTGAGACAAAGGTGTTTCAGTTCCTCTTCTGCTCGGTCTTAGCTGGTTGCGTGGAATGCGTATCTGGCTGGAAGATGAATCAGGCCCCCTCTTGCCAGCAGAGGGGTGGGGTGGTATGAGGTGGGCTGGGGAAGATGGAAAAGGATATCCTGTAGCCAGGATACCAGTTTGGGCGGGGCTGGCTGATGCAAGAGGTTTTTCTCTATGACATCACAGTGGTGGGCAGGGATCTCTCTGCCACCCCCCCACCCCCCGCCACTTTGGGTACCCCCCCTCTGGGGTACCTAGCAGAGGCCTGGATGTCTTCTGAGTCATCCGAATCAGAGGTTCTGTTACTGTGTGTAAGAATCACCGGGCATCCTTGTAAGCGAGCAGATTCTGAGGGTTTGGGATAGCTCCCACATGATGCTGCCCAGACCACACGCAGTGGTGAAGCTCTAGACCAGTGCTGCCAAAGAGAAATACAATATGAGCCATACATGTGATTTAAAGTTTTCCAGTAGCCACATTTAAAAAAGTAAAATGGACACACACGTTGCAGTACAACAATGATATCTTATGTAGTGGTATAATTCAAGTAAAATGTAGTCCTCCTCAAAACAATAAAGTTGACTTCAATGGACGAATAGCTGACACTGCTTTCATTTTTAAAATTTAAATGAAAGTGAAATAAAATGAGAAATCCAGCTCCTTAATTGCGTTAGCCACGTAAGTGCTCGATAACCACGTGTGGCTAGTAGCTACTGTATTGGATAACACAGCTCTAGAGCATTCCCAGAAAAGGCAACAATGTACAGAAATTACCATTCTAAAGGACCAGTATCTGGAAGTCTAGCTGATGTTCACAAACCTAATTTTAATAGTATGTAATGAAGATTTGGGAGCTATTAACACTGAGATGTAACTCTGAGGCTTAAAGAGAGGGGTGGTGTCTTCCCCAGTATTCCAGCTAAGAGTCTGGCTGGGAGCTTTCTGTTCTGTGAGACATGTCACCCAGAGTATACCCCTGAGCTTAGCGTGGGTGCTCCTCACTGGGTGTTCCTCCCCACCTAAATCCTACATGACCTTCAGGATGCATGATTCCAGTCTCAGTTCAGCCCAGAGTCTTCCCTTGTGATTCTAGCTCTTATCTCTCTCTCTTCCCTTTGAGCTTGCATAGCATGTATGGTCTGGCTCTGCAACGGGGAGCTTCTTACTAGCTCAGATACCTAAGTAAACGTCTAAGAGAGGACATCAGATCTAAAATGATCTATCACTAATTTGAACAGGAGGAATTAACATGCCTTTTTCTTGGCGTGTTTCAACTTGATCAGATGTCAGCTCTCTCTAATTTGCAAATTTAATGTAACCCTAATACAGATACCAATGAATATTTTTAAAGAGCGCGACAAGCTGATATTAAAGTTCATTTCAGAAAACACATGCACAAGACTAGCCAGGAAATATTGGGAAGAAGGAGCTCTGAGAGAGGACCAGCCCTAACATATTAAAGCAGACTACAGGCCTCTACAGGGGACGCAATAGGGTGCTGGGGCATGACTAGACCAACAGACCAATGGAATAGAAGACCAGAAATACACACAGCTACATAGAGACATCCAGCATATGGCAAAGGTGGTATCTATAATTACTGGGGCAAAGATGGTCTTTTTAACAAATGGCATTGGGACAAACTGGATAGCTATTTAGAAAAATATAAATTGTACCCACTTTTTATACCATATACAAGAATAAACCCCAAATGGACGGGAAATCTGAATGTAGAAAATGAAATTATCCAAGTGCCAGAAGAAAGCATGGGCAAACGACTCTAAAATCTGGCTGCAAATAGAGGCTTTCTGATGATGGCTAAAAATCCAGATACTAGATAAGAGGAGATTGATAAATTTGACTACATTAAAAAACAAACAAACAAAAACCTCCGTGGCAAAAATCACCATAAACAAAATAAAAAAAAACAAATCATAAACTGGGAGAAAATATGAGCCATACATATGACAGACAAAAGGCTACTATCTCTAATATATAAGGAACTTTTAAACATTAAGGGAGAAAAGAGATCAAAATTCCTATAGAAAAACAGGCAAAATTAAGGAACAGGCAACTCATGAAAAGAGACATATAAGTGGCCCTAAATATATGAAAAGGTATTCAACTTCATTTATAGTCAGAGTAATGCACATTAAAACAGCAATGAAGGACACCTGGGTGGCTCAGTCAGTTAAGCAGCTGCCTTTGGCTCAGGTCATGATCCCGGGGTCCTGGGATCAAGTTCAGCAGGGAGTCGAATCAGCAACATTTAACGAAACTACATGTGCATTTATCCCTTGGCCACAGAAATCCTACTTTTAGGAATTTACCCTGAAGATGCAATGCCAAAAATATGGAAATATATATGTACAAAGTCACTCATTGCAGCGCTATTTGTAATCATGAAATATTGGAAACTACCTGAATCTCCCAGCATAGATTAGTTGAATTAAATATGGCGCATACAAACAATGGGGTACTGTGCCGCTATATAAAAATAAACTGGAAAGTGCAGATTATATACTACGGATATATACTATGCTATCTTTTGTGGAAGAAAGAAGGGCAAATAAAACATGCAAATATTGGCTTATTGTTACCAAAGAAACACAGGAAAGATAAACCAAAAAACAATGAAGTTGATTACTCAGTGGAGGGAGGGGATGGAAGTGATTCAGGAGGGAGAGACACTTCTCTGAGAACAATGTTTTTTGTATAGTTTTGACTTTTGGAAGCATGTTAATGTTTTACATATTCAGAAAGAAAATTAAAGCAAGATGGGAAGGGAGAGAAAAATCTACAACTGAAAACAAACGGAAGCAAACTAAGGCAGTTGTATTTTGTATAAACACGGCAACCATACTGAAGCGGGCAAAGGAATAGAACAAATCCAAGAAACTCATGAAGACGGTGTTGGACTCTTTACCTTCTGTTTGGGTGAGGTTGAGTTGGAGGAGAAATGCAACCAACTCCTGAGCTCATTTTAGTCAATATACTTCATTCATCTTGTGGTGGGCGTGTCAAGCAATTTTGAAACATTTTAGATATATTGTGACGCCCGGCAAATGGAAATGTGTGACTGCTGCTGGGAGCTACAATTCCCATATGGGAAAGTGACATCGAAATATGGAATGGGGGAAGGCAAGAAGGAACCTTACTGGGGTGGATTGGGATTAGTGGCATCAGTGTGAATACACACACACACACACATCTATACATATACATATATGTATATATATATACACACATAAATATATAAACATGTACATATTTGTTTGCATGTGTGTATATGTGTAATATGTACATGTGTATTATATTTGTGTAAATACATGTATATTTTTTCTAGCTTGGTCCACTGAAAGGGCCTAGAAGTAAGGACTCCCCAGTAGCAATGAGCACCTAGCACTCAAATCTTGGCCTCTAATAGCAAAACCTCGTCAAAGAAATAGCCAGTCGCAGAGATGGGACAAGGTAATTATGAGATGAACTTTGAGCATTATGTCAGAAAGTAAAGTAATGCTTGGAA